TTTGGTTGTCCACCAAACACCAGATTGCTCCGGGGTGCAAATTTCGCATTGACAAATGTGTTGTGGTGGCAAAGGATCCAACATATATCATTGTACACCACAAAGGAGCAGCAGATTTTGTTTTTGCAGTTGCACATGCACCGCACACTGGACATGATGACCATCTCCGATCCAGATGGTGGAGCCAACTGTCTCAAGATCTGGCAAAAGTGCCGCCGAAAGCAGAGTTAGTCCTTTTGATTGATGCCAATACCACTATTGTTGATTCGGTAGATGATAGAATTGGCATGCTTGGCGATAGAAAGAGCAACTCCAACACTCCTTACTTTTGTCACCTTCTTCATCAGTTTGATCTTTTTTTCTGTTAGCTACGTTTGAGGAGTGCCATGAAGGAGACATCGCTACATGGACCCATCCAGGCGCAGGGATTAGATGCAGACTCGACTACATTGCGGTGGCAAGAGCTTGGGGATCAAAATTCATCTGGACATGGAACGATCCGGACATCAATGTGGGTGCACTTGCATGGGACCACACAGCTACTTTGTGCTGGATTGTTTGGCACGAGACGGTTCAACCACAGATTGGCTGTCATCGCTTTGACAATGAAGCGATGAAGACTGTGGAAGGACAACAGGTCATCCGGACTATAGGGAGCAACTTCCCTTCTCCATCTTGGGATACAAATGCTTCAGACCATGCAGCTCAAATGACAGAGTACCTTCAGGAGCAGCTCCGGACTCATTTCCCAAAGGAGAAAAAGAAGAAAGGGGGTACGACGATAACGGACGTGTCAAGGAGTATGCATGGGACATTTACAGCGTTGCGCAGGAAGATCCGAGCTGTACAAGCCAGAGAGAACATGCTGTATCAGTGGTTTGTCTTCATGGCATGGAAAAATCAGGAGACAACTTTCCCTCCTGTTCATCAATGGACAGGTAGATTGTCCCTCCGCAAAGCTTTCAAGAAGGACACCGACTGCGGAGACAACTGGCTGCAGACAGAAAGGACTTCCTTCAGAACGTGGCCAAGGAAGCATCCAATGCCCCAATAAGTGAGGTCTGGGCTAGACTCAGACCTATATTGCAACCAGCACGCAAACAAAGAAACATCAGTCAACCACTTCCCCAAGTCTTGCATGAAGATAGCACACCAATCTTGGACAGTCAACAATGCCTTGAATGGTGGATCAGACATTTTGCAGACATGGAAGGAGGCAGAGTGGTGAAAGTGGAGGACCTGGTAGACAACATGAATCGCCGCCAAGGACAAGTCTGCAGGCCTAGCACTTTTACAATGGATGATCTTCCTACAATTGGGGCCCTGGAGACTGCAATCCGCAAGGCCAAGTACAATAAGGCACCAGGTTTGGATGGACTTCCAGGGGAGCTCCTAAAAGGAGACCCTGCGACAGCGGCCCTGAACCTCATGCCTCTTGTCATGAAAATGACACTCCGGAGGAGAAGAGCCTATATCATGGAAAGGAGGAAAGCTCTACATGCTCTACAAGGGAAAGGGAGAACATAACCTCTGCAGAAACCACAGGGGCATCATGCTCCTTTCAGTATTGGGCAAAACCGCCAGAGCAGCTCTTAGAGAGCAGGTCAACATGCCCTATGTCAGGCAAGGAAATGACATGCAACTGGCAGGTAAACCAGCTCAACAGGTGCTCTTTGGAGCGCAGGCAGTCCGAAGTTTTCTTCGGAACCACAAGGCCGGACAGAAGAGCTGTGCGATTATCTTTGTTGATGTGGCCGCAGCTTTCTACAGAACACTTAGGCAGATCTCCGTTGGGGCTACTGTAGCGGAGGAGGATATTGCAAGAGTGGTCAAAGACCTGGGTCTAGAACCGGAAGTCATGCACCTCATCCATAAGGCAGTACAAGGACACACAGCGTATAATGACCTTGGAGCTTCCGCAGTCCAACAGGCCTTGGTGCGTGAGAGTCTTGAGGACACACACACAATCAGTGGTCAGGAATGTATCGCTACCACAAGAGGTACGAGGCCAGGAGACGCCTGGGCAGATCTGATCTTCAACATCCTCTTTACCCAAATTTTGAAGAAAATCCATGTTGATTTGGAGAAACAAGGATTGACTATCTCATTGGAGTGCTTTCATACGACATGGGCAGATGATATTGCAGTTCTCTTGCAGTTTGAAAATGCCCTTGTGATTGAGAAGCAGCTTCCGCAAGCCACCTATACAGTGGTCCAGGCACTGAGGGAGCATGGATTACAGGTTTCGCTTGGGAAGCACAAGACGGCTGCTTTGGTCCTGCCGAGAAACAAAGGAGCAGTGCATGTGAAGAGACACTTGTTTCGGGAAGAGGAAGCCACAATTCCGGTATTGCTTGAGGATGATACTGTTCAGCTCCCCCTTGTACCAGCATATAAGCACCTTGGTGGCTGGATCAATGCCAAAGTCAACATATCCATGGAGATCAAACATCGACAGGGCAAGGCAAAGGCGGCATATGGAAGAGCGGCTCACAGAGCTTTTCGAAACGCACAAATACCGTTGGGAACCAGGCTCCAGATCTTCAATGCAACAGTTATGGCTACCTTCCTTTGGGGAGCAGGGGCCTCGCCTCCTTTCTCATGCAAAGAGAAGGGACAATTTGATGTCGCTCTTAGAGGATTGTACAAACTGATTCTCCCCAGACAAGAAGGTGGCAACAAATACTCCTGGCGCAAGATCCGGAGGCTCCTGCAGTGTGCAACGGCAGATGACATGCTGAATTTGGCCAGGTTTAGACATTTTGGTGCCATGCTGACACATTGACATGCCCCTGATGTGACATGGAGCTTCATACAACAAGACCAGCCAATGGTAGAGACGTACCAGCAGGCAATACAATGGGCAGTGAGAGCCATTGGAAGAGACAATGCTTTCCCAGCACTGTCTGACTGGGAATGGTGGAAGGAGCTAGCCAGGGACAAGACAGTTTGGGGAAGATTGGCCAAGAAAGCGTACAAACGCTACGTTGCCTTTCACCTTCGGCAAGACCAGGTTGAATCCTGGCATGGGGCAATCTTCACAGCCTGTCTGAAACATACGGACCAACAGCATCCCCAGGTTTTGAAGAAGGAATTCCATGTTTGTATTCTCTGTTCGAAGGCATTCAGCACGCCACAAGGATGGTTTCTGCATGCCCATGGAAAACATGGATACAGATCTAGAGAAGGACAGGCAGCACAGGGCACCTACTGTTTCTGCTGTGACAAGCAATATCGTAGTCAGGAGTCACTACGTATGCACCTACGATACAGTGCAGGATGTTGTGCCTTTTTCGACAGTCTTAGGCAGGAAGGAGTCCAACTCCATGAGACGACACGCCCAAGACATGAACAAATGCCTTGGTATAGGCAGGGCATGCAGCAACAGCCACAGGGACGACCAGAAACTGACAAAGATGTTTTGATGGTTCAATTGCAGAACACTCTCGTTGATTTCTGGATTCCGGAGGATGATGCACAATTCACTCTGCAATTGACGGAACATTTGAAACAGCAATGCGCAGTCCTTATGCCTTTTCAGACTGTTTTCGAGACTTTTGCAGAATGGGCATTACCATGGTGTCATTCAGACAATTCCAAAATGTGTACAGCCATTTGGGCCGTGCAAGATTGGTTACTCGAAATGACGCCAGAACATGATCCTTCAGAAGAATGTCCTAAAGGGGAGGAGCTGAAGAAACAGGTAAAAGTGCTTCCTTGGATCAGTCAGCCTGGACAAATGGTGCCCAAGGAACTCTTCGTGCTTCACCTATTCAGTGGTAGAAGGAGGCAAGGAGATCTACAGACAGCCATTGAGAAAATCACACCACCCGCGGGGTGTGTCATCTGTTTTGTCTGTTGACATTATTGTGGACAGTCAAAAAGGGAACTTGCGAGACCCCAAGCAACAACGACGACTGATTGAGGCCATCCGAGGCGGATGCGTTGTTGCAGTTTACGGGGGGTTGGCACCTTGCGAAAGTTGGTCAGTAGCAAGGTATGAAGCACTGGACGGATGCAATGCGCCCAGACCGGTGCGAAACGCCTCGCTTCCCTGGGGCCAGCTGGACCTGACGGTCAAAGAGGGTGACCAAGTTTCAGCCGGAAACGACCTCATGGGCTTTGCCATGCACAGCATGGCTGAGCAGGCTCATGGAGGTGGTCTTTCGGTCTTGGAACACCCAGATGATCCGGAAGAAGTTGGCACCCGCCATACAGACACTCCTTCAATCTGGCGCACGGCCATTGTCCAGTGGTTGAAGGACACAGGACAATTCCACAAGGTTCGCTTTTTGCAAGGACGAATGGGTGCGCCAAGTCCAAAGCCAACAAGACTGTTGGTAGCAGGAATTGGGAAGACGGAGACGAGCCAACTCCTGAAACAGTTCCTGTCGACGACTTGTGCTACAGAAACCTCAATCGGACTGCATAAGGGAGAATGGAAAACAGCAAGATTGAAGGAGTACCCAGAGCGGATGTGCGATTTTCTCTCATCCCTTTTGAAGGCGTGGCTCCAAGACAGGAGCATCGGGACAAACACGCCACATAGCTTCGAATGGCTCAAGGCGCTCCATGTCAAAGACATTTCGAGCAAAGCCCTTGGCCAACACTACTGTCCTAACATCTAATTAACGAATTCAAGCAATATGCTGAGTTCACACGAATGCACAGCATGCAGTGAAATGAAATGAAATGAAATTAATTTTATAATATTGTTTTACAATAATTTGATTGGCACTTGCGGAACCTTTCCAAGCAATTGCCTGGAAGGTTGTATTCCTTCGGAACAGCAGGGCATCATTGATCATGGCAACAATATATGTGAAAACATGTTTACCAAACAGGTCGAGAAGTGATCCGAAAAGGATTTTTCTTTAATTCGGGATTCGAAATATGTCTATGTCTTTGGACTTCTAGGGTATACTGCCACAGTACAGCACGGGAATCTGAGGAACGCGGCTGAACCTGACCACGATGTTCTCAGATGTGCTTCACTTGTTGTCGGTTTTGTTTGCGCAACCTGGCCCTGCATCTCCGAGGCCCTGCTACAGCTGCTACGGCTGCTACGCGGCGTGTCTTGTGCGCCAGGATGCCAGGAGCCCCTGACTCAGTATGGAGAGTACCTAGGATACTTCAACATTTCTTGGTCCAGGGGGCTTGACAAGAGATTGGTGGAGAAGGATTACAGGACAACTTCTCAGATTCTCTGTGACAGCTCAAAGGTTCAGTTGTGGTGCCGGCAAGATCCGGCAAGATAATTGTAAGCAAGCTCAACAACAGGGGTCAATCGATCCATCACTGATGAGCGCCCTTCCTGCTCTGATTATGTTCAAACGTTCAAGTGCAACTGAGGACTGAACCCTTTGCCTTTTCCTTTGTATCCTTTCCTGGCTTATAGGATCAATGCTGCAAGCAAGTGATTGCCAAAAGAGTCAGGATGACCCGTGGAGTGAGATTGTGTTCATGGAGATTGCTTTCGTTGACACTTGACAAAACCCACGTTAGTTTCTGGACTGTCTTGTGCTTTCCGAAAAGTTTTGTCTGAATTTGTTTGCTTTGTGTACACATGCGCCAGCATGCTGGCAAACAAGCGTTGGATTGCTTTGAGGTGTTCGGACACCACCAAAACAAAACAATTGCTGAACATGGTGTCCATGTCGACTGCATCTTGCAAGTCCTCCATATTGAGTACGACGCAAGGTTTCGCTCGTCTTATTGGCCTCCACGCTCCATAGCCACCCCAGTACCTTGGTGATTTCACTGAAGTGATGCTGCTACAGTAAGCTACAGTAGCTTGCAGTCAGTCATGGAAAATGCAAAATAGATCAAAACAGCATCACTTCCCTAGGGACTTAGGAGACAGAAACAAGAGTTCCATTATGTGACTTGATTGTCTTCATGGACAGTGCCTGACCTGTCATGGGGTTCTTCTCCTGGGAGGCTCACGGGTCTGCCCAGGGATCGGCCCAAGGATCGTAGTAACCTCAACGCGGCCACGGAAACATGCACAACGAAATAAACTAAGAAAAGAACAACGAAATAAACTAAGAAAAGAACCTACTTACTAGCTTCTTGTTACTAGTAGCGATGGCCTCCAACCTAATAGCGATGGCCTCCACCTAGTAGCTTCTTGCTACTAGTAGCTTCTTGTTACACAACCATGTAGATCATGTAGTTTCACTTGTGTATTTCTCTCCGCTAGGTGGAGTTTGTGTTTCCATTGGCCACACTCTTGAGAGTCAACAAATCCAACGAATGATGGTGAATGCAATTCAATGCACTTGTTTTGAAACTTCCTTGTACTAGTAGAAATTCAATGAGTATCTGAACCAAAGCACCAAACATATGGTTCATCCAAATGGGTTTTCTGTTTCCAGGCCAAGGCTGGAATCAAGGCCAAAGGAAAACCTTGCAAATCTCACGAATGGTTTATTTTTATGCAAATCCACCAATGAGGAGTGTACAATCCACTGAATTATCTGCCTTGTTTTCCCAATAAACATTCTGCTCAACAGTCCTCGCCCATGAACTGTTCAACACCAAGCGCACAAGACAAACTTCAGTCTGCCCAATCCAGCTGAGCAGTGCCACCTTTGCCTTTGCCTTTTCCCTTGGCTTTTCCTGAAACTGGAAACAAGGGACAAGGTGGTCCAAATACCAAGCCTGACTGACACAACTGAAGCCTCACGAGCATGCTGATGTGACAACAACTCGCATGCAAACAGGACCATGTTTCACCACAGCGCCCGTGCCTTTACCTTTGCCTTTGTTGAAGCCAGGGATGTTGGTCCGCTTTTGAGTGACCTGTCATTTGAGCGTCTGGCAAGGAAAAGGTCGACAACCTTTTGGGACCATATCTACCTGCAAGCAACTGCTGTTGCCTTGAGAAATAAAAGAAATGAGCAGGTGGACAACTAAACCCACACTTATTTAAACAAAACACAAAAACTCCTTTCGCACAGTCCAGTGCTTGCCTTTCTTGAGCCAGCCTCTCATGTCTTAAAGAACTGGTGGCACAGCTCACACGCACACAGCAGCAAACAGACCGAAATATATGTAATTATGCCTGTATATGGCATCTAGGTTTCTGCAAGTGAAAAATATGTGATTCTCGTCGTGGGTGAGGTGAATACTGATTACTGGAAGAATCGGTTCGGACGTGGGCAAAGCTTGGAGCCTTGCGGCTGCTTTTCAGGCACGTGCGATTTCAGGTTTTCCAGGTTGGTTGATTTCTGGTTCAAAGATAGTCCCGTTGCACGCTGGTCCATGGCCAAAGCGCGCCGGGCCGGTCTACGTGACCAAAAGATTGCGAGAAGGCAATATAATGAAAATTGAAATCGGGCAATCCTTTTGCACACTGTGTTGACCTGGCGCACTCGGGGCGCGACCATTCTACAAAATGATGTCTTCAGGAACGCTAAGAATGGGTTCAGCGCCTGCTAGGCTAAGCTTGGAGGCTCCTTTCTAGGACAATCTGTGCTAACAATGGGTTTTCTTGCTAACAATCTGTCCTTGTTGATTTGATAGCAGTTCCGCTGGGCGTGTGCTGGGCCAGTCCAATTCAAGATTTGGTGCTTGCGTTTAAATTGTATGTAATTGCAGCTCTTCGGAATCGGTTCGGCACCTGCCAGGAGGCTACGCTGCCAACCCAGCGGCCGCCTTTCAGGCTCATCCGCTTTCTTGCTTTCCTTGACTTGTAAAGTCACGTAGCTACAAGTAGCTGAGTTACAAGTAGCTGACGCTGCCACACGTCGGATTCCTCATGATCGCCAGTGCCAGTAAGCATGAGGCCAGTAGATGATAGTAGCTGATGTACGATGTTGATTTGTCGGCCGGGGAGTTGTAGCGATTTGTTAATTCATTACGCTTTTGCACAGTCTCGTATTCAGCAGCTTTTAGGTCCAGATTGCAGATACACTCAGACGCGAAAGTCCTTGCAGTGCAGCTGCGGCAAGCCTGGCGCGTGCAAGCAGTCATTGGCAGCCTAGTAGGATTGCGATTTTTATGGTAAAATTGGAAAGGCTTTCAGACTCAGAAGATCAAGAAGGCGCTTGTTGACCCTGATGTTTCCTGTGCAAGGGTGACACATGCTAAATGTAAACGGGCCTGCTGCCACATGGAACGCGCAAAGAGGGGAATGTTTTGTGCGCTTGTGGTTTCTCATGTTTCAGGTATTGGATAGGTTTCTAACTTAGAGCTCACCAGTGTAGACAAAAGTGGACACAGCCCAGAACACGTTTGTTGCACTATCTTCGCGAGACAATCCTCTGCTTTTGTTCCTGTAGCGCGTTGATTCCTCAGGTCTTGCCAGGCTAGTTCACCACCAACAGGCACGCTCACAGCCGGCAGGTCCAAAACTCAAACTTTGAATGGTCGAGGGCACTTGGTGATGTTGAAAGTGAATCATGAATAGAAGATTTGAACATGTTTCCCGGTTTTCTCTTCAAAATGGGTACTAAATTTAGCACTTGCTGCGGCCAAAAGCATTGGGCAGCATTTCTCACACTATGTTTCTTGCAGCAGTGGAATATTGCCGGCCACGATGTTGCCTATAAATAAAGTGTGAGGTGCATCATGACACCAGCTTGCTAGTTGAAAAAATCCGGTAGATCCACCGCACGATGCTTTTCCCTCGCTGCTCCTGCACCGCTCGATCTCCACGCTTGGCTTCACAGTTGGGGGCTGCTGCGAATGGTGTGGGTGCGAGCTCTACAGATTTGAAGGCTAGTGTGGCAAGATGTTCTTATTGCCTAAACCAGAACCATGTCGTTCTTTTGTTAGGAGGAATCAAGTGTAGAGATGTGTAGAGTCTGTTTGCATGTCGTTTCTTTTAATGCATGTCTTCGGGGCCAAAGAAGCTCAATGGAAAAACCAATGACATGACCATCAGAAAAAGTTTTGAACCGTGAATGTTTTTTGCGCGTTACCTCGTTACCTCCCTACAGTCAAATCCAGTATGGAAAATTGTAAGTGACCTGCTAAAATAGGTCAAAAGGTTGGCTTTGAGAAAGTGAGCCTGCTTTCTAGACCCCAAGAGAACAACACTCAGGAAAAAGTCCTCTTATTTTTCCAAGTTGATTACTGCAACGACATACTTTCTGCAATAAAAAACCGTGCTTCAGCATTCTACAAAGTGGTGTTACTTTAGCCAAAATTTGAATGCAACATAATGCAACAATATTGATTGAACAGTTGTGCTGTAAGCGACATCAAAACAAAGCGACTTATCCAACTCCCCTGGCGCCTTCAGTTGTCTGCCTCGAAAGAGTGATCCGTTCAGCAAGAGCGAGTTCCTCGGAGAAAGCGAGAGTTCCGATCGGAATCTTTGTGAGTTCCCTCGGCTCTCAATTTCAGACTGGAAACTGATTCAGTTCTGCGATTGATACGATGCAGGTAATTACTCCCTTGGAAAACACAACTTCTCTGTGAAGGAGGCTGCCAGCACATTTGAAGCCAGCAACTTCCAGTGGCCGCTGGTGATACGCACGAACATTCTGAAGTATTCTAGAAGAGTGTGATTCTGAATATTGATAGATATAGGGTCTTATAGGGACGAGCATTCTCTACATATGTTCACTCGTTCAAGCCTAATCACTTCACATTTCACATGTCCTCTTTCGAACCCTCAAGAAACAGCCAGGCAAAAGAGATTTGATTCTTGCTTCCCCCCTTTACTATGAGGCGGTTTCCTTGAACCCTGAATTTGCTACCGTACCATGGCCGTGCAAGGCGTCGCTGGGCTTTGGAGTGATGAATGTGAAGTTCTCCACACGTTGGACACAAGTGGCCTAGTCAACACAACATCCATGAACCACGACATGCTCAGAATCCGACCGTGTCTTGTTGGGTCTGCAAATAGCTCACACACACACAAACACACATAAAGCATCATAAAGCCATGACAGGTGAAATCCAAACATAACATAAAAACGTGGTCTCAGCGCAGACTACAAGTTGCTGTACGCTCTGCTCGTCGCCGAACTCAATGTATGCACGACCCTGGACCAAGACGCCATGTTTAGCGACAACATGCAACAACTTGCACACTCCTTTTGTTTACCAGTTTACCCACATGGTCCACCTATACATCTGAATACATCTAACTTGGTGGACAGAAGTAACATCGCGCTCGCTCTCTCTCTCTCTCTGTCTGTGGCAACCACGGCGTGCCAACCTTTGGATGGCCACTGAACTTGTCCACCAAAATCGTAATGCGATTGATCTGCCTGCCGTGTTGGCTAATAATATGGGTTCCATGTGCAAATCAAACAGGAAATTGGCTCTGGTGCATGACGGAATCCTCCCCGACAAGGGTGGGCAGCTGGCAGTGCACTTTATGTGTCTCCATCGAGTGCAAAACTGCGTCAAGGCTGCCCGCAAGTCTTGAAGTGCTCTTGCAGCTCCTGACAGAAGGCATGATGACGTCAAGTATAGTATAATTGTCTACAACACTGCAAGCGCTTCTAGCACTCCGATATCATACAGTCAAGACCCTACTCCTTTCCAAAATGAAAGGCGCTTCGCTTCACAGTGGCTTCTCTGTTGAGCGCTACAGTACATTCAGTGTCCCTCCCAATCTTGGACCATCCTCAGGTGTGGCGCCATAGTCTACCTGTCCGACGTACCTGGAGCGCACACTGCACACGGACGGTCAGGAACGGGCGGTGGGTGCAAAGCAGTGCAAAGCAGTGCAAGGCAGTGAGGCAGTCACCTTCTCCACCCTGTCAGCCTGGAGACTTCAATTTTGAAAAGAAGGTCCCCTGAACTTGCTTAGTTTTTTTGGGCGAAACTGCTTCAGAAATCGATGGGAACATCCTTGCTGAAAAGCTTTGGAGTTTCAGTTCTCAGACTCTGAGTTCATGTATTGCTTCGTGCTTCTTCTCTGGAGTTTGATTGGAGCATACAAGAAACTGGTTCAATGTAGGCCTTTGGATCATAGCCCCCAAAGGATTGGCACTTTGGCTTTCTGTAGTTCTGTAGACCCTTTAGTTTTGACCTTGAATTTGACATGGCATTCTTGCCGATTCTTGCCACTGGAACTTGTCGTCTCCGCAACCTCAAAACCATCTGCCCTCTTGGCCGTTCATTCTGTGAGGGCCTCTGGGAATGGCTGGCCTACTGCATACACTGGACATCTCTGTTTGAAAGTTAGTTGTGTTGCTACTATTCCAAGCAATTGCTGCAAACGTTAAGCCAATCCTTCAAGCATCTTACACCACCCTTCATTATGTTTAAGTGAGGAAGGGCTTTCATGCATCCTAACACTCGCAAGTGGTAGATTCAAACATATACAGTATATATATATATATGTAGAGATAGATTAAAGATAAAAAAGGCTAGAAGCAGGCCAAGTTCCGAGTTATTTACACCAGATACCTTGAGTTCCCAAAGAAATAAACGGAATTGTGGCACAGTCAAAAAGAATCGAAGCTTGAGTTCCCTAAAAATATTGGAACCAAATCATTAGTGCGAGCACTTCTTCAGGGAAGCTTCCCCAAAAACACATATTGAAAAGCTAAACACATTGGACCATTGGATCAAACACCCTGCAAACAGTATGCAACTCAGCGTATGGACACTTGTCAGTCACTTTTTGCAACTTGGGTACATCTGCTTGCCCTGAATTTGTCAGGGTTGTTTGACTCGTCGACACTCCAAACACGTCCTACATGTCCCAATTGTCCCACCATGTTGATCCTGGCCCCGAGTGCAAAGATTGGGGTTAAAAATCCGGCCCCAGTCATCGTTCGGACGTTCGGATGAATAGAACATTGACTTGGAGAAGCGGACGAGAAAAGAATGCAACATCCATCGACACCCCACTTCCTACAGATTCCAGGGACCTTCAGGCGAAAACACCAAACAAACTGGTGGGATTTCTTCTGAGCCAGAGTACAGTTCTAAGGGTGGGCAAATCATTTTACTATTGGTAACTGGCTAATTATGTCGTGTCTTCCCTCTGAGCTACAGTATGCAGGTTGGAAAGTTGGAAGTATTGAAATCAGGGATCAAGTGAATATATACATATTATATAATATGTTATAAATATACGAACATATATATATATACATACTGTATCATATATAATATTAACAATCCTAACCAACAATATCATGTCCAATATTTGAACATTCCTAACCAATAATAATATCATATCCAATAATAGTGCCCATTCGAGACCCGTTTATACACGTGAAACACACTGAAGAACGTTGTCCGAACCATGTTTGCCCCGGCCAATGTCTCCAAATTGGCCCAAACCACACCCAAGCCTGTGAGTGGCTGCCTCCCTTTTATCTCATGGGAAGGTCAGTCATTCAAGTCAGGCACTACCAAGCATTGATCCTCGTCACAAAGATCACAAAACATATCAACGAACTAAAGAGGCTGAGTCAGTGCCTGAGTGCCAAGTTAGGGTCCAAATGAATCTCCGCAAGTCAATCACCGAACACTCGACACCTTCACTGGCGCACACTGATCGCTTGTCGACCTCTTCCCGGTCGACGCCTGCAAACACGATGAGTTGGTTAATCATCTTGCTTTTGCAATGTCTAAGTCAACATGCTGGACTTACTGCTCAACCCTGCCCTGCTTGAAACTTGAACGTGAAACCACTCAAACACCAACTTTTGTGCAGCATGGTCTAAGTTCTGTCTGGCTTATCTGGGTTCATTGACGGCCATGGCAGAATTAGATGGACAGAACTGTGGTTTGATCTCATGACAAAAGTGTTGGGAGATATACAATTGTACAAACAGCTATCTGACCTGGCTATGCCTGGCTGTTCCCCCATAGATGTACTGATATACCATGATGCACCCGTCACTTCGGGCCGTCGCCGGTCTCATCCACTGAGTCAGTAAGCTTCTTCAGCTTCTCCGCCTGTGCTTTGCATGAAGAACTAGAATAACCAGCAAAGTCTGGCAGTCTGACGCAATCAAACAAGCTCTGGGTGGTCTCTTTGCATCACTTTGACCCAAGCTGTGCTGACTGGCCACGGTCTCAGTAACGCACTGAACAACCCATGTGCCTCTTCTTCCATCTCTGCTACTTTCTTTTGCATCTCCTCAAAAACAACCCGAGATGTGTTCAAGTGTTCAACTGTTCATCATCTCTACAGTAAACATTCCGTTCACTGGGAGCAAGGACGCTACTAGGGGCTCCTGGCCTTACTACTAGGAGCAAGGACGCTACTAGGGGCTCCTGGCATCGCTACTAGGAGCAAGGGCGCTACTAGGAGCCTGTTAGTGGCTGGGAGATCCTCAGAGCCTCTTTCAACATGAGCGCCTCAATCTCGGCATCCGCCGCTGTGAGGTCTGCGTCATCCGCCATGGCCTGAACCCCATCCATCCATCAAGTCTGTCGAGGAACGACACAGTTTGGGTCAAGCTGAGTCCTGGGGGAAGTGTTTGTTTTGTTGCAGAATCTTTCCTATCTTTGTGGTATACAGAAACATCAAGGCTGCATGAATCAAACGGAAAACCATCGTCAAATCGGTTTGACAGTCCACGGATGTATATCTCGTGTATGTACATGAGCTAGGGAAGATCAAATGTCCGGCGTTTGAACAATAAATGCCATTGTATGTCCATGTATTTTTCCAAGTCGGCTTGATTGGTCTTGCTTTAACCATGAACATAATGTAACACTGTAAATCATTATTGATACATAATTAATGATTAGTCTACTTGATTGAAAACAAACAATTGTTTCAAACCTGTCCAGTCATGATCGGTTTCTGAGGTCTCATCAGTGCCCCAAAGGGTATATCAAGATGCGTTGACGACCGTTGTTCGGTGTCCTCACCTTGGCGGCGACCCGGTCACCCCGGACCCGAAGGCGACGGTATCTCGCTCCGGAGCCGATCTCTCCGTAACACAGCCAGGACATGTGAGTGGCCAGGATTGGTGAAAAACTGCGTTCAAAGCGTCCATAGCTGACTGATGTGGATAGAAAAACATCCGTTTGAAAAAAGTCTACCTCAACATACGTTTCGCCAAGTCAATATTTGGGTTTAATTGATACCCTTGACATGAACTGCCCGAATACTCTATAAAATTATGTATTTCAGGTGATTTGTGCCGTGAAGTGCAATTCTCTGCGGAACTGCGTGTGTGTGTGTGTGTCCACTCCTGTTTCCAAGGACACTACACTACACTAGCTCTTACTAACTTTTCTTAGGACTTTCGTGACCATTGTACAGCAGCAGGGGGCACCTGGAGCAGAGATAGGGCAGGTGCCAATGAAGACACCTATCTCTTGCTCGTGAAATTGACGGGAGACGTCCTGTCGACGTACCTGCAAACTTTTAAATTCTCCAATTGTTGTTCAACCATACTGTTGCTCGGACTTTGAACTTTCCTTTAGTCAAGGTCTAACTTGCAGTAATCTTAAAGGGCTAATGCACTCCGCGAAGCAGCCTGAAATCGCGCTCCACGGAGCAACCTTCTCAAGTGTGTCTCCGCAGCTTCTTCCCACTGTGGTAAGCTGTGTGATCCCTACGGGGCGCCGTTATTGCAAGAACCTTTTCACTCCTCACCGCAGGTGTAAGCTTCCTGAAGTTTTTCTGAATATTTCTCAACTGATTTTCCTGCTCGAAATCAGCTTGGATTGTCTCACCCAGCACACGTGAAGTTTACTGCAGAGTTCACTGAATTTCCTACTGAAATATACTGCAGAGTCAAACTGCATCTGTTTCACCCAGGAATCCTTTCCATTTCAATTTTCAATTTCAATTTCAATTTCAAGAGTTCAATTAAAGTCAATTGCACACTCCTCCACTTTGCAGCGACATATTATACAGTTTATAGTTTCACTTTTTCAGGTTCATGTTCAAGGACTGCTTTGATTCACACCTCTACTTACATACATACATCGACCTTATTCGACTTGCCGAACAGCCATGACGTATCCCTGGCCGTATTCACTACCACCACATCTACAGCAGCAACCACAACCCACACAACCACATTGGTTTCCGTACCCAATCATCACATGCTCCACCACAACCATACCCAACACTGCCACCAGTTCCACCACATCAACCAATTCCTCACGGTTATCCATTTACCACGCCACTTCCACCTCAAGCCCACTACATGCAGCCACATCCAGTACAGGCACATTATCCAGTACACCCTACAGCTCCTCTTGACAGTACTCAACATCCGCAACCGCATCCACTTCACGCAACACAACCAATACAATCCCACGTCCACACACCTCCAACACAGCCACTTCAACCACATCAACCACATCAACCACATGCACCACACACTACAAGCCAATCACCAACCCCACCACTACCACAACCACCACCTCCCTCAACTGATCTACCACAAGCCACCAATCCCGCAGTGACCGCTACACCACAGCCTGCCACAATGGCTCCACCACCACACACTCCAGCAGCTCCCACTGAACCTGCTTCAGCATCCATCACCACACCAGCTTGCACCATCACAAGCTACATCCAGATCCAGGAGCCGCACTCGCTCAGTACGCACTCCACGCTCTCCATTGACACGCTCTCCATTGCCACGACGACGAAGCTCGGCTACACGATCAGTGGCCCGCTCATAACCACATTCCACGCCTGCTGACAGGCACACATCACCATAACACAAGACAAAACTCACACTTCCACCAAAGACATCACCGCTGCCACCACTACAAAACACACTCTGGACTCAGCCCACCGTACCTCGGGCATCACACTCAAACCCAACCCACTTTTCACACCCAAGCATACCACCAAAAAGGCACCACCGCCACCGCCCATTGCACCACCAACTATTCCAGTTCAACGACGTCCTCGCAACCTGCCTCCTCCAAAATTCCAACCACCCACTGATCCTGCACAATTGGATGTCTTCCAATGGATCAACCAGTACGCACAATCGCTTGACGTCCAAAATGAACCCATGATTTCCTACGTGGCCAAAGTGCTTAGCGCAGCCCATCTCAACAGCACCCACTTTACAGACCTGCAACTTCTCACACACACAAAATGGAGCGACGACACCAACAAAGAAGAACATCACTCATTCCTACTACTCACCATCCCCACACTAGCGAGCAGGGGCGATGCCCCAATCCTCCCTCGTATACACGGAGAGAAGCTTTGAATATACCACCGATTAAACGCATCTTTGCGGCACATGTTAGCGAAGAGGGAAACATCATTTCCATACTTGAGGCGGGCGAAATTGTGAGATCCGTTTTGCACGACGATCACAACGTAGGTTATTTTTGCCAAGCTTTCGAGCTATCGAACTATGAGCCACATGATGTTGCCGAAGCCGCACGAGTGTTATTCAACGCTTCAAACATGGCCAAAAACCGCAGCGGCCTCATCTTGACGATTAAAGCCTATGGCCATGGCCACAAAGCAACTCATGGGGGCGAATCCGCTGCGAACGACCTGCTACTTCGAGGTGAAGGGATTGTGAAATATACCCCAGGAAAATGCTGGGTAGCACACCCCAAGCATTCAAGGATAGAAGGGATTGCTTGGAAAAGCGATGCAAAGCCACCGCTCAGCTTCATTTAATTCAACCTTTCCAGCCCAAGAGGATCTTTTTCACCCCATATCTCGGATGACGACAAGTCCTCAAAATATCTATGCTGCTCGCTCCTGATTTATTATAAACATTTCAATTTTTTCACTAATCGTTGACAACCTCCATTTATTTTCAAGATGCTGCATCCGCATGACTTCCTGCAGACCACATGACATTAGAGTCACCACGACTATCGACAAGTCCGTTTTTTCAGATGTTTCAGATCGTTCTGGCTTTTCAGCTTTTCAGATTTTCACATACACTGACGAGATTCAGCTCGACTTCTTGTATTGCCCCATCACCTTTTCGATATTCTTTTCACTTACTTACTTTGCACCGCAGCCATCTTATCTTATCTTATATTATTCAAACAATTGAGCACGACCTTTACAATCGTACAAGCCATATTGGTCCTACGACGAGTACCACGAGGATGACATCTCCTTTGGGCGCAGCATTTGCACATCGACTCCTTTTAGCTCACCTTCACGCAGCCACATCTATTACCACCGCGTTCCAAAACCTACCACTTTTTACACCGCAACCACTACCACCTGCCCACCAACCTATTACCACTCCAACCTCCTTTAAACGATCAAGCAGACGCACTCCACCACCGCCGCCACCACCTACTCCATCACGCAGTCGCAGTCCACCTCACACCACCGGCAAATCTCACTTGAGATGCAAACCAGAACCTTCACCCTCTTACACACCCACTTCACCACACCAGCACTCGCCCACACACCACAAAGACAAAACGACTCAACCACGACTGGAACACAAAAACAACACAGACTTCCAACAACAGCTTACACCACCGATCACAACGATTTCTCTCAACAGCTCGCCCACCACACCTCCACAGCCACTACCGATTCCACCACCTCCTTCACCAGTACCTCCACCTTCACCAGTACCTCCACCTAAACCACCACAAAATCTCAGTGACTCCCCTCCATATCCTGACAATGGAGGATGGGAACCCAGCGATGACGAGAAATTGGCTGCCTTCAAACTCAACAAGCGAGCTCGCCCCAGTTGGCAATACATTGCCAAAGCACTCAACAAAACGCCTTTTGATTGCAAAGGTCGACGGCAAGTCTTACAAATTCTCTGTGCTCTGAACGGGTCGAAATCATTCCAAACGTGTGGTGTGGTGCAAATTTTGTTGAAGCTCACATGCGATGATATTGTCACTTTTCGTGGCAGGCGCAGGACTTCGTGCGGGCTTTGAAGCGTGGAAGCGCGATTCTCGTGGCAGGCGCAGGGAATCGTGAGGTTGCGAGGTGTGAGGGAGGTGACATTTCGTGGCAGGCGCAGTACTTTGTGCGCGTTAGACGTGTGGATGGGGAAAGATTCGTGGCAGGCGCAGGGAATCGTGAGGTTGTGAGTTGTGGTAGAGGTGAATGTCACTGTCCCATTGGGATTGGCGTGTGAGCGGATGTTGTTTGGAGGGGCTGGAATCGCGAAGCTGCTTGGCAGGGCTGCGTGATGTGTGTGCTCCGATGGGTGTTTCCGCTTGACTTTTGGAGGAAGTCTCGTACAAAACGCTCGTTTTGCAGACTTTGACGCGTGAGTTTTTGAGGAAGTCTCGTACGAAATGCTCGTTTTGGAGACTTGACGCGCAACCCTCTGCGGAGATCGTGCGTGTCGAGTGTGCGAAATGCAGGCGAGAGTGCGATTTGTCCCATGTGCGCACAACCCTCTGCGGAGATCGTGCGTGTCGAGTGCGCGAAATGCAGGCGAGAGTGCGATTTGTCCCATGCGCGCGCAACCCTCTGCGGAGATCGTGCGTGTCGAGTGCGCGAAATGCAGGCGAGAGTGCGATTTGTCCCATG